GCTGCACTTCCCTTCCTCCAACTACAGGAGCAAGTAATTGCTCATACTGCCAGCACCCGTTGCCTCCCTGGCACACAGCTGGGATCCCAAAATGGCAATAAACTGAGACATGCACACTGAACCCCACTTTACTAGCTCTCCCAGAGATAGGCCTGGCATTCCAGAGCTGTCCAAGTTGAATGCGAAGCCTAGTGCTTCAAGCTGCACATGGGGCTTTGGCTTTTTTAAGCCTTTTATTAACCCTTAGTTTTATTAACGCCGTAATTATTTTTTTTCCCCTAAGCTTTTTTTTACTTTTAACCGGAGCTGACCAATCAGAAGCTGTCTAGTCCGTACTGTCATCCCTGAACTAAGAAGAGAGAAAGCTGCAGGTTTCTCTCCTTGTGGGGATGACAGTATGGGCTAGATGGATTCTGATTAGTCAGCACCGTGACAGTGTTGACTAATCAAAAGTCGTTTAGCCTGTACTGTCGTCCCTTCAAGGAGAAGAGGAGATGTCCCTGCAAGGAGACTTTCTCTCCTTTCCTACAGCTGAGAATCCAGAGCATCTGCCTCCATCCACATGCCCTTCTCTGTCATCTCTGCAAGGAGAGGAGAGAAAGCCATGGAAATTTCAAATTACTCGGCTTTCTCTTTTCTCAGTGCAGGGATCACAGTATGGACTAGATGGCTTCTGATTGGTCACCATGACGGAGCTGACCAATCAAAAGCCATCTAGCCTGTACAGTCATCCCTGCAAGGAGAGGAAAGAAAGCTGTGGGGATTTGATTCCTACAGCTGAGAATCCAGAACATCTACCTCCATCCTCCAATGGCCAACACCAAGGTATACATCCCCACACGCCCTTCTCTTCCACTCTCTGCTCAGCATGGGATCGGCACAGGGAGGTTTCCTGCACAGCTCCTGTGTGAACTGGGTTCACACAGGAGTAGTCGGGAAACCGCATGCAATTTGGAGTGGAATAGCATTCCTGTTTAAATCACATGCTATTCTTTGCAGTGCAATTTGCATCCATACATTTTGTATTGATGCAAATAGCACCGAAAAGTATCTGTACTTGGTATCGGCGATCGTACTTGCTGATCAAAAAATAGTACTGGTGCATTACTAGTCTATAACCTGGGGGGGGGGCACAGACCACTCCTCTAGCTGGCAAGGCAGCACCCAGCTACAGTTGTCACCCTAGGACAGGAAGTGTGTTACTGTCAGGATCACCAGCTGAAAATGGTAAAGTAATAGCAGCCTGAAAAAAAGAAACTGAATACAGCCACCGCATGTTAGGACTGGTAATCTTCCATATATTCCATGACAAGGGTAGAATATATGCTTTCCAACATAACCAAGCCTGCTAGGCCATACCCTCCTCCGTTTCAGCTATACAAAATACACAAACCAAGTTTTGGAATCAAAATGGCCATAGCAGCCTTTTGTTATTCAATAAATTATTTCAACATAAATAACATAACATTCCAAAAATTATAAACAGATGAAAACATGGTGGTCATTTGAGGGCCATAAACCCACCTTAACTTTTGCGGAAAACATTCCTTCAACTTAAGACCTCAGCCACAACCCACCGACTTGGGGACAATCCTACTTATCCCCAGCTGCAACACATCAGCTCAGAGATAACCCTACTTATCTGCAGTGACCACCATTTTACCTCTTCCGAGTTATACCCTTGTTAACTGGAATGTACCAAGGTCCCCATACCATCGTTGGGTCCCGAAACTTTCTCCATACAGAATTATTTCCTCCTCCAAAGACTAACCACCGCCAAGGCTGCTGTGACAATCCAAACCAAAGCACGAATTGGAGGGAGGGTGGGAAGCTTCTTCTTCTTTCAACTTCCCCACTGGAATGGTCTGGGATCGGACACTCCTTTTCCTCCCTGTGAACCCTCCAAACATCCCCATCCAATCAGGTAAGCCATACTCTCAAACGTCCTACTCTTCTTTTAACCCTATATGTTGTCCCTCTATTCCCCCTAGTCATGTCGTTCCTGCACTTAATTTTTTTTTTTTTGCTTGCTCCGGGCCTACCTTTTTGTACTTTTTGAGGTTTAGGTACACTTTATTTCTAATGCCATTTTTATTCTAGTTGATGATAGAGTCTGGAACCAGAAAGCACCCTTTTACTGACAACAATATGGGTCTGGTCAGTAGAATTTCCAGTCCATTAAACCAGGTACAAAAAAATAAGTTGCTGCAGTTTGGTCAGTCTTTATCTTCACCAAGTCTTCAACAAGGGAATCTGCTACTTCCAAATTACAAACCGGTTCCATTGTCCCATTTGCCTCTGACACCTCTGTATGTTGCTTCTCTGCTTTTTAAATGTGTGACACTGAAAAGCTGTACGTACTTTATAAATATTCATTTGGCTATGCCCCATCTACCTCGCCTCTGTTAGATGAATTTTTAACAAGCTTCTTAATCTGTTGCTCTTTGACAGAAAAGCAATATCATTTCTCAACTTTTTTTTTTTGCCTTCCGTCTCCATTCTCCCATGGTGCAATCCCGTAATGGAATGAATTGAAAAAGAGGCAGCCTTTTGTTGAGGCGTTCTGCTGTAGCTTTAGCATCACCCTACGTTTCTTGCCTGTGCTGGTAATAGAAGAAGAGATAGCGTTGGAGAGAAGATTCTATCTTTCTAGGACTTTCAGGGAGATAATGTATATTTTTAATATATTTTTATATTCCTGTTCTGTAACTGTCTGGAACATCGGAACTCTTGCAGCATCCCCCATATGTAATACATTCCTGCATCAGGCAAATAATGAAATTATATTACCTGCAGTGCGGTTACAACTGCTAGCCAGAGATACCTTGTTCAATACATTCAGTCGTTCCGTAATCAGTCTTCAACCCCACTCCCCAAATGTCACAAGGGATAAAAGAGAGTTTGTAAAGGCATTTTATAATAGTTTTGGACAGAGTAGAAAAGGTTTGCATGCTTTGCCAAGTTTTTATTGTTATCTATCTCCCCGTTGGGGAGATTCACCCCTCTATTTGTTTTGGTGATCAACGTCACTGAAACAGAGGAAATCTAAAATTTTACCATTGTCACTAAAACACATGGAAACTCAAAAAAGTAAAGTAAGAGGTCAGAGAAAATCCTAAGATAGGGACTGCTGTTCTTTGATAGCTTTCCAATATGGGAACTTTGTTCACTTTGAAGCGATCTCAAGAGCATGAATGAATACTATTTATCCCTAACTAAGATGGGTGACTTTACTGACTGGCAATAAGGTGCAAAAGGGATCACAACCAAGTTTGGTGCAGAATCACAACTTGAGATTTACAATAAAGATCATGCTAGTTTTAAAAGCTACCAGGATGATTATAAGAATGTCCAAAGGCTTATGCCTCCATTTCATTCTCTTTATTAGTTTAGTTTTTCAATGCATCATGAGGGCATCACTAGTGGAAGGTGAACTTGTACTATATTCCCATCACTGTTCCCATCACTCCTCCCTGATGTGGATGCTGTGAGGACTGAAGTTTGGCATCATAGTAAAACACCTTGAATATATGACATCATACAAGGTGGAATCAAAAAATTTCGAGACTAGCTTTGTAACACGCCAACAGATGGCAACCTTCATAAGTCAGTGTGCCAAAAGATATCGTGTGCCTGTGTACATAGGGAGCTGTGCAACTTGTGCTATTCTGACCACATGCATTACCACATCTGCTATTTTATCACAAATAGCAAGTGAGAACAAAAAGCAAATGTGAACTTCTGCATGAAAGTGGGCAAAAAGGACTGGATTTCTGCAATGTTGTTAAAACAGCGACTTTTGAGCTGGATCTTCATCTTCGGCAAAAAGGCATTTTCAGGGGTTGAGCTCGTTGAAGGTCTTCCTGATCTCTCATTGTCTTCCAGTGAAGGTCTTCCACTCTTGAAGTGCCTCTCAAAACTCCTCAAACTACGATTTGCCTTGTTTCATGCAGAATTTCAAGTTTGCTCTTTGCTCTAACTTGCTGTCCATAATGAAATAGCAGATGTGTTAATGTACCTGGTCATAATAGCACCAGTTGCACAGCTCGCAATGTATACAGGACAATGCCTTTCTGCACACTGACTTATGCAGGTTGGTGCTCCCTGAGACTGTGTGTGCAGCCTTGTGCTGCCATCTGTTGGCGTTTTATAAAACTAGCCTCTAAACTTTTTGATACCACCTCGTATCAGATTGAAGGTTGAAAAAAGATTTGCATTTATGGATGAATGAATGAAAGATCCATCGCCTCCATTTTTAGAGCACCTTCCATTGCAGGAACTGAGAGTGCGGCTTCTGTGAATGCAGAAGGTTGGACAGAAAGGGCAGATACACTATATTGCCAAAAGTATTGGGCCGCCTGCCTTTACACGCACATTAACTTTAATGACATCCCAGTCTTAGTCCATAGGGTTCAATATTGAGTTGGCCCACCCTTTGCAGCTATAACAGCTTCAACTCTTCTGGGAAGGCCGTCCACAAGGTTTAGGAGTGTGTCTATGGGAATGTTTGACCATTCTTCCAGAAGCACATTTGTGAGGTCAGGCACTGATGTGGGACGAGAAGGCCTGGCTCGCAGTCTCCGCTCTAATTCATCCCAAAGGTGTTCTATCGGGTTGAGGTCAGGACTCTGTGCAGGCCAGTCAAGTTCCTTCACCCCAAACTCGCTCATCCATGTCTTTATGGTCCTTGCTTTGTACACTGGTGCGCAGTCATGTTGGAAAAGGAAGGGGCCATCCACAAACTGTTCCCACAAAGTTGGGAGCATGAAATTGTCCAAAATTAAGGCTGACACCTTAAGAGTTCCCTTCACTGTAACTAAGGGGCCAAACCCTGAAAAACAACCCCACACCATAATCCCCCCTCAACCAAACTTTACGCTTGGCACAATGCAGTCAGGCAAGCACCGTTCCCCTGGCGACTGACACACCCAGACACATCCATCAGATTTCCAGACAGAGAAGCATGGTTTATCATTCTAGAGAACATGTCTCCACTTCTTTAGAGTCCAGTGGCAGTGTGCTTTACACATCCGACGCTTTGCATTGTACTTGGTGATGGAAGGCTTGGATGCAGCTGCTCGGCCATGGGAACCCATTCTGTGAAGCTCTCTACACACTGTTGTGCTAATCTGAAGGCCACATGAAGTTAGGAGCTCTTTAGCTATTGACTCTGCAGACAGTTGGCGACTTCTGCGCACTGTGTGCTTCAGCATAGGTTGACCTCGCTCTATCATTTTACGGGCCTACAACTTCATGGCTGAGTTGCTATTGTTCCCAATTTCTTCCAGTTTGTTATAATCTTACTAACAGTTGACCATGGAATATTTAGTAACAAGGAAATGTCACGGATGGACTTATTGCACAGGTGGCAATCTATCACAGTACCACACTTGAATTCACTGAGCTCCTGAGAGCAACCTATTCTTTCACAAATCTTTGTAGAAGCAGTCTGCATGCCTAGGTGATGATTTTATACACCTGTGGCCATGGAGGTGATTGGAACACCTGAATCCAATGATTTGGAGAGGGGTCCCAATACTTTTGGCAATATAATGTATAGTCAGCACATTTAATGAGTGTCTGTGTCAGTTGGAACCACTTGTGTTAACCCTAGCAACACAGCTGCAGAGGTATCCAGGGAGAAGAGGAATTAAGATTTCAAGGAACAGAGCAGTCACCAGAACATGGGACACACATCATTCATGTAAGTACCATCTATGGTGCTGACTTAAAAAATCACCACTAACCATCAGCTTTAACTTGAACTAGGTAGTAATTGCTGTAGAGCAGTGGTCTCCAAACTGTGGCCCAGGGGCCAGATGCGGTCCTTTGCATGCTTTTATACGGCCCTTGGGGCATTATTCCTTCCACTGACACCAACAATGGGGCACTAATCCCCTCCACTGACACCAACGATGGGGCACTTTTCCCTCCACTGACACCAACGATGTGGCACTAATGCCCCCACTGACACCAAAGATGGGGCACTATCCCTTCCACTGACACCAACAATGGGACACTATTCCTTTCATTGACAACAATGGGGCCCTATTCCCCTCACTGACACCAACAATGGGGCCCTATTTTCCCCCAACTGACACCAATTTTGGGCCCTATTCTCCCCACTGACATCAATGATGGGGCCCTATTTCCCCCACTGACACCAATGATGGGGCCCTATTCCCCCCCACTGACACCAACATTCAGGCCCTATTTCCCCCACTGACACCAATGATGGGGCCCTAGTCCCCCCACTGACACCAACGATGGGCCCTAATGCCCCCACTGACACCAATGATGGGGCCCCATGCCTCCAATGACACCAATGATGGGGCATTATTTCTCCCCTTAATATCAGAGAAGATGCATTGTTTTCTCCCACTGGGCATAACCCGGCTCCCTAAGGTTTGAAGGACAGTAAACTGGACCTTTGTTTAAAAGGTTTGTTGACCCCTGCTGTAGAAGCTTGATTATTTTTAAGTTTTTTGTTCTATTTTTTAATCATACAGAAATGTTGTCTGTATTCGTTTGACCGTACAAGGGTAATACAATTTGCTGATACCAGTTTAAAACCTGAACTGTTGTGTGGGCTCTCTCAAGCAACACAAACCCCAGCTGGGTCTGTCTGCCCCAAGAGACAGCAAAAGTATAACACATTAATAACACAGACAGGTTTATTTAAAAGACTTCAGGTATTTCTTGAACGCAGCATCATATTTACATACACCGCTGATAAAAATATTTTCTCTACTGGAAAAAATAAAAACTGCACATAGGATGAACTATAACTTTTTCACATAAAGAAAAATATAATTAAGTACCTCGGGGGTAAGGACATCAAGTCACTGGTTTTGTGTGTCGTTCCCACTTCCTCAGAGATCCACCCCTGAGGAAAAGGTTATGCACCTCTAAATGTAATGTCCCCATTTATTTTTTCAATAATGTCAGATTTTTTTAATACTTAAATTTATTAGTATAGCAGATTAGCAAGTTTGCTCTGCATATTAAATTACAGAAACAATTGGTAACTAAAAGCCTGCCAGCAAAGAAAGGTAAATGGACAAAGCATTAGCTACAGGTTTTCCCACGTTCCTAAAAAGGGTTTTTGCAGGCTTTCAGAGTATAACCTAACATGCACCATTAAAAAGAAAAATCTCTAAAATTTAATTAGGCAACATTTAAACTCTAAAATGCCCTTAAGCAAATTAATTCATGTGCATGTTCCTTTTGCAAGAACCATAAATGGATTTAAAACACTCACTTGAAATGCAAAAATAAGGTGCTAGAAAATAAATTAGTTTATACTGTGTTTTTTCATTTGCCTTAATGTCTAAGAGGTTTTATAAACTTCCTTTCACTTCTGTGATATTACCGGGAACTTGATAAAATGAAACCATCTAAATATATAATGCAAGATGACTATTTAAAGCAGGGTCTCTTAACCAGGGTTCCAGGGAACGCTAAGGTACCTCCAGAAGTTGCTACAGTTTTCTTGAGCAATGAGAAATTTCTCTATCTCATATAAGGTCCCAGTGACACCATTGATCTGTAAGGGGTAATTCTTCTCAATGACCACAAGTGTAAGGAGCATTCTTCCCACTGACCATCACACTAATGCTCTGATGAAGAAGGTCTGGCCTTCAAAACGCATCAGTAGAACTGAGTGCCCTCCCCCCACGATGGGACTCGCGCTGGCCCTCTATCTCTGAAGTCCCTGTGAGGACTTACATGCCTGATTTTATTCGCTGTTTGTGAGTACCTTTCTTATTAATAAACTTCTGTTTACTGAAGTAATGCGCAAGGTTTGTGCGCTTCTCATTTTTATTTTGCTTTGTAGTGTTGGTCGGGCTTCCCCAGCCTTGTTTGGAGTCGCACAACCTTTGAAGCTCTGGTGGTCGCTGTTTTCCAGTTCTGGTTCCATCTATTTGCCACCTGCCTGGGTCCTAGAGCGCAGAAGAATTTGTGTTTCATCACACTAATGCACCATGAGTTGTAGATATACTGTAGTATGTGTAGATATAGTATGTTTAGCAGTGGTTTCCTGGAATGTCAATGGTTCCTCTGTGTTGAAAATGTTGAGAATGGCTGATTTAACCACTTCAAGTCCAGACACTTTTGCCCTCTTCCTGTCCAGGCCAATTTTCAGCTTTCAGTGCTATCACACTTTGAATGAAAATTGCGCGTTCATGCAACACTGTACCCATATGAATTTTTTAGCATTTTTTTTAAACAGATAAAACTTTATTTTGGTGGTATTTATTCACCACTGGGATTTTTATTTTTTTTTGCTATATAAATGAAGAAGTCCAATAATTTTGGAAATAAGTGCATACAAGTTTGCAAATAAATAATCTTTCTTCATAAATCTTGGCCAAAATGTATTCAGTTATCTTTTTAGTAAAAATAACCCACATTAGTTTATAACCAAAAATTATAATTTAAAAAAAAATAGTTTACATTTTTATTTAATTTTTATTATTATCATTTATGTTTTGTTTTGTTTTTTTTTTAACATACTGTCACCCTAGCAGTACAGTGTCACCATAGTGACACCATACTACTTGAGGGGGGTGATGAAGATTTTTTTTTTTTTTTTTTTTTACACGGATTGCTTTTATACCCATAAAGGCTGTAAAAGCAATCATCTCTCCTTCTGTCTGGCTGCATTCTTGCAGCCATTCAGAAATACTGTGATAGCTGTGATTGGTCACAGCTTGTCACATGGTACAAGGCTGTTGTGAATAGCCCTGTACCATGTGACCTCTGTGATCATTCACAGATTTCTCACGTAGTAAAGCAATGATGTCAGAAGTGACATCTTGCTTACACCTATTCATGTGATCACTGATTGGCCATCAGGACCTCACATACTTCCAGACACAGCGGGCACCGGATCACGGTGCCGTGCGCTCCAAGGGAGCACGCACAGTCCAAAATGGCGGGCGCCATTTATGAACGGCAACCCACCCCTGCACTGCCACCATCCAGCGGTTTATATACAACGGCCAGATGGGAACAAACCCTATCAGGTCTTTAAATGAATCAAAAGGCCAGGCTAGCCAGGTTAGCAATGCAGTCTCCATTTGTCTCTTGAACATTCTACATTCCTGGGAGAGGTTAATGCTCCCCATTGCATGCTGTGGTTCCATCCTCAAATCCACTGCTGGGACCTGTGATTTAGAACTCATAGCAGAAGATACCACAATACAGTGGGGGACAAAGGTATCCGACATTCTTGGATGTGTCAGATCTAAAGAGACTGAAGCACTAGAATGTTCTTTGTAAGTTGGAATCAATAGAAAAAGTCACATAGCTTTAAAGCACGTTTCCACTACTGCAGCCAGATTGGGAAGATACCTACTTTATATTTGTTATATGTTCCCCCTAACAGAGCATAGCTTAAAAAAAAACTGTAAAAATTGCTGGTTACCTTTTTAAGTGCTTTTCACTTGCTTAAAAATCCTTACATCCTTCAATACTCACCCTACTTTGTTATGTTTAGAAGAAGGTATGGAACTACTGTATGTTTATTATAAATACCTCTGTGTGTATTGTGTTCACAGTTCTTCATTATGAGTTGTAAACTAATTTTGAACATTGTCTGTGCTAACAAAAGGTAAAAAAAAAATCAGAAACCGCCCTGCATTGTATGTTAACGGTGGATAGCTCAGTCTGTGTGGGACTTGGGTGACCCGGGAGACTGCCCAGAAATTCTTTGATTCAGTCTTGACTGCTCCTTAGAAACATCTAAAAGGTAAAAAAAAGTTTTTATTGGCTTTTTTTAGGTACTGTGTGTAAATGGCAACACAAACATGCAGGTAAAACACCAATTGTATTAGAGGAGCTGATATTTATTTCTCTTGTTCTACTGAGTTATGATATGATGAGAAAGACCATCATGCTTAGACATGGAGAAAAAAAAAACTTTTGTGGATAGTGGATTTTTTGCTGTCTGTTTCCTTCTTGGAGACATTTGTCACCGCTTTCTGTCTCTTACACCCATCACCTTCCCAGGAAGTTATGAGAAATTTCCCAATGGAACACAGACAGCAAACTTTCCCTCCTTCTCTTATCTGTTGTCCTTTGAAAAAAAAAAATCCATGTAATTATTGTATCTAAACTCAAAGGCAAACATGTAATATATTGCAGCTTACCAGTCCTTACATGTGATGGCTACATTAGCCTTCTTTTTTTTTAGGCCTTTTTTCTTTATTGGTTGCAGAAAAGAAAATTGCTCCATCTATGGCTGGCTTAACTTACTACACAGCGATCTGGAAAGTACTAAAATTCAGTTAGTGAAGCCCACAAGCCATACTAATTCACAAATTGACAAATAAATAAGGTGTGGCTAGCCCTTCCAAATGTATACTGTGAAAATAGTTTTCTGCTACCTTTATGCTACACTTTTTTTCTAAAACAGAACAGAAAGTGGTTGCAGCAGTGGCTGTACCTTGG